TTACAAACCTTGCTATACCATTGTAAACCAGAGTAATTGTACAATATCAAATTGAAGAGTCCTGACAATCTAGGTACCACAGGGTGATTGGTACTGGCAATTATACTATTTATTATCTTCGTTAAGGATCTGGAAGATAAAGTAAATTGTAGCTTCAATATGTTCTCAAATCATATGAAACTAGGCAAGATTGCATGCTCACTAAAGGAGAGATTTTTTTTTAAAGTATAGAATGTTCTGGAGATCTTTAAACAGATGAGCAATTTAAAGTGGTCTGAGATTTAATTTAGATAAATGTGAAATAATAGACATGGGGAGAAATTAATATTCAGCCAAAGTACAAAATGGGAGAAAGTTTCTTGTGTAAAGCAAGCGATGAATTTTGGGAGTGATGGTGGATAACAGATTGGACATGTTCTTCTAATACAATGCACCTGCAGCAAAGACCAGTGCTATCCTGAGATATGTATATCTTCTGTAGGGCATGGGCAAGAGCTAGTAGTGCATACATCATTTCACTAATACTTTTTCTGTCCATAGCAGATGTAATTGTCCAAGCTTAGTGCTTCTCAGCACTTAAAGGATTTCTTCCCGCTTTTAGTTAAAATAATCACCCCCTTCCACCACCCCCCCCCCCAAAAACAACCAAACTCCAAAATTTTCATTGTCAACAATATGGCTAAGGTAGTTGCATAGAACTTGCCATATCAGATCACACCAGATGCATATACTCCAATAGTCCATGTGAGATTCTGTACTGTGCTTCTGAGACACATAGCATAGAACGCATAGTCCATGGGGCAGGGGAGCGGAGGTGGCTTTAAGCCACCTTTGCACCCTTCCATTTCTGGGCTGCTCCATGCTCCACCAATGAAATTTAGACATCTATGGGGGGCTGTTTAAGATATGACAGCCTCTCCCCAGCTGCTCACGGGTCACATCACTGCCCAGAGTCTCTGCAATGCTATGTGCTGTAGGGACCTTCTCCCTCCAGTATGCCCGCTACACCAGGGCTTGTCCTTGGAAGACAGCCATAAGGCAGTCTTCTGCAGTCATGCATTGGGGGAATCCTCCCCTACCAGGAATTACAGTTTTTACAACCTTTTACATCAGTCTGACCCTTTTACCTGGTGTAAAGGTGCTGGAGTGGAGGTGAGAGTCCCACCTTCTATCTCTGACCGTGACAGTGCTCCAAAAGAAGATGCAAGAAACCCTATAGTAGATAACTTTGGAATAAACAGCAATATGGGTGGTTTCTTACTAAGAACCTGACAGAGAAATTTCTATAAGGAAAAAACTGAATTTTTACCCTCTGCTGCTTGAATAATCTTCATTGTATTCATAGGAAGTTTTCAGGGCTCTGAGGCTTGCCTAGCTGCAATAGCAGAATATAGTGCAGGTGGTAACTTTAGGCTCTTCCTTCTAATTACAAACATTTGTCACAGGTGAGGGACATTAAAACAAGTTTATTCTTATCCCAGCATTAATTTTTAGAACAAAGTATGAACAACAACAGCAGGGGATTATAAAGTAGGAGTGAAAATACTGACGGTTATTTTTCAGACAGAAAAAAAGCCACTTCATTTTTAAAGCAAGAATGGAAGAAGAAATGTGCTCCCATAAGGTTTAGAAACCATCCAACTGTGTGAAGGGTGGGGAGGAAGTGTGGGAAAGTGAGTTCATACAAATGAGCTTTTTGTCCCAAGGAGGCATCCCAAAGCCAGACTTTCTCTCTTTCTTTCCCTATCTGGAGAGATTATTCTAGCTCTTCCTTTCAGTAATCCCTGCCAAACTGCTGCAGAACTGAGAATGAGTCATGGATGGGTTCCTTAAGGAAATGCTGTTGTCTCTCTTCCCCTCTTATTGATCACTACAGAGGTGGGAAGATTGTTGACCTGATGGTCCTTTCCTTTCTCTGGGTAACAGAGATCCATTTTGGATCTTTCCCTATGTGCTCTTGGCCCATTCATTTTCTCACTGACTGTGAGATATATTTGAAGCTGCAGAGCACAGATTTGACTGAGCCAGGATTTGGGCCTATAACCTTTGTCTATTTGGATCAAACTTCTCTTTTTCTCATGTTCCCTTTTCTCTGTCTTGAGATGACACCAAGAGACAGATTCATCTGCGATAAATTTGACTTCTTTAAATTTTATTTTTCAGGCTCTTTTAAATGGAAAGAATTTTCTGTGTGACATGATTACAAAATTATATGTTTCCTCGTGTTTTTATTGTTGTCATTATTGGAAACTGTGTCCTGTGCCTGTTAGCTGCTTAAAGGCACTCTTGTCATGTTATTTCAGAGTCAGCTGAGAGTAAAGTGAACTAAAGTGTACAAAGCCTTAGCGTTTTAGTTACTTGGCATCTAGTTTAGGAAAATCCTCACCACATCCTTTCTTGGCTCAATAGTTCTCCACCAGTATGTTGCTCATGATACAGGGGTATCATATGCAGGATAAGAACGGTAATATGCTTGTTTATTCAGCCTTGATATGGCCACACTTGAGAATATATAGATTTCAGCATCTCATTATGCTAATGACAGATAAATGAGAGAGAATCCAGAGAAGAGCAACAAACATGATAAAAGGATTAGAAGATCTGACCTTGATGAGAGGTTATGGGAATTTAACATTACAGCTTGAAGAAAAGGAGACCGAGTGGAGGATATGATAAGAGTCTACAAATATTTGAGAGGTAATAAGATAAAGGAAGAAGAGGGATTATCTCCGGTGCTTGAAGCAGCATAACAAGGAACAGTGCTTGAAATAGTAAGAATGTAGGTTAAACCAGTTCCGTCTGGCATGTGGATCGAGAAAGGCACGAAGTCCCTGGGGCAGACCAGAGTTCCTCTCGCTCTGCCTGCTGCCATACAACATAGTTGGAACTATACGGGCTAGAAACACCAGACTTCTTCTCCATTTCTCCAAGCAGCCAGGAAATTGAGAGCCCGAGAGAGAGGAGAAACAGCCCAGCTGAGTGGGAGTGGGTCACACTGATGGGGTGTCAGACCAGTCCAGGGAGCATAGGCTCAGAAGAGGAGCTTTGAGCGGTGGGAGAAATGCAAGATTCTGCGTGATAGGGCCCAGTTCCAGAACCCCACTTACAACTCTAGGAGACTCCTTCGTTTGGGGTAAAATTCCTGTTCTAGGAAAAGAGTTTATTCTCAGTGAGCCAACGACCAGTACAGTCCCCTGGAAAAAATGCCTTTAGCCTTTTGGGCTGCTTACTCAGAAAACAAGGCTTACAATGGTAAACAAAATAATACAATTTGGGGCCCTTCCAGGGAGGAAGCAGACCATTATTTCTCTCTAAAGCAGCAGCCACTTTCTGTCCAGTTTTCCCATTTACATCTCTTCCTAGTAACTGGGTCTAGTTCCCATGCTTTGAACATTTGAGGGAACTTCTCTGAGTCATAAGGTTCCACTCACTGAGGCAGGCATTGCATGCTTCTCTAAAGGGTAGTGGAATGTGGGGGAACTGTGACCTTGAGGGCACATTTTTGGGTTCCAAATGGTATATCCAACCAACACACCCTGAATCCCCTGTGACTGTCCAGTACAAACAAGCTACTGTGGATAAAGCAATGAGCAGCTCCTGGAATACCATCTTCCCTCCCTGCTTCCTTATACAATTGGTGATCCCTAATACATCAGAGCCACAAGATCAAGAGGCAGCTTCTGAGCTCAAGATTTGGATCTCCGCTCTTTCAACACACGACTCAGCTACAAAGCTCCTTGGGGCAGGGACCATCTTTTAGTTCTGTGTTTGTACAGTGCCCGGCACAACGGAGTCCAGGTCCATGATAGGCTCATCGGTGCTACAGTAATACAAATAATAAATAATCATAATAATTAGTGTGCATATGTCCCAGCCCACAGAGCTACCAGTCAGTGCTCTCCACCCTATTCATCATGTAGCATGGGGAGAACAGTGTTAGGAAGCAATGTTGAGAGGGGAACAAAACCCAATAATGAATAAAAAAAGAAAGAAAATAAAATTTGTGGAGAGAAGATAAGAACAGAGAAGGAAAGAGAAAGGAGGCAGAAAAGGAGGAGGGCTGAAGAGAGAGGGAATCGTTAGAAAGGAGTAGGCAGAGCATTTGTACCAGAGTGTGTTGTGAAGAGATGGAGTGGGAGAGCCTATTCACCAAACTATTCCTCTGACCAAAAAAATGTTGGGAACCACTGAAACAGGCCTTGCCATGCACCCTGAAAATCAACAAACTTGTGCTCTGTTGGATCAAGGGGGCAATACAGTTCCAGCGTCACAGGCCCCCCACTAACTTTATTAGAGCACTTTTCATCATTAGATCTCAAAGCACTTTACAAAGGAGATCACTATCATCCCCATTTGAGAGATGGGAAACTGAGGCAAAGGGAAGTAAGTGGCTTGCCCAAGATCTCTCAGCAGGCCAGTAGCAGAGCCAGAAATAGAACATAGGTCTCCTGAGTCCCAATCCAGTGCTCTGTCTGCTAGTTCACACTACCTCTCACAGTGTACAAATCTAGGAATTATCGGTATGCGTGTCCTGGCAGATCTCTATTATTGTGCATTTGCACGACAAAAAAGCTGGTCTCCAAAGTACACAGTTGAACCAGCCAGGTTAAAGTCTATGATTCCATAGTCATTTTTTACTAATTTAATGATGTGCAATTTTAATTCGGTTTAATCTGATGGGCTCTGTATTAATTCCAGATACAAGACTTTATATTCAAGCGTTAGGGGAATGCCCTTGCATTTGACATCTATTCAAATGATTGGTCAGTTTTTTTTCAAGGGTTATTCTCAAAACTCGTTTTTTCTGTGGCTCTTTGGGCTTGTTATTCTATTATTACATTTTTATATTTTTCTTGTGTGGCACTGTGATGTTTGTGAATGTCATGTTATAAGTCAGTCAATAATATTAATAGTTTGCAAATCCTTTAAAACATTAAATGAATAAAATTGGCATTGCTAGTCGTCAGAATCACTTATTTGTTTTTACTTGTTTTCTTTAGGAATGCTGTCTCTGCAATTTGAGAGGTGGTGCACTCAAGCAAACTACTGACAAGAAGTAAGTGATGGATACACTGAGATCAGTCTCATTAGTTTTAAACTTCATTCACGTACATATTTACACAAAGATAACTTCCAAATATAATTACTTGACAGTGTCCCCTTAAGTGGAATAGCTTAACAGCCAGGGCCCACTGAAGACACCGAATCGAGCCTCTAGCATTTTGTGAACACACTTACGTGCTTACAAATAAACATTTGTTTTATTATTTGAACATTCTTAACTATTCTAAACTCTGCTCTGCTAGTCACTATGTAAAGGAAGCAGATGAAAGCTCGTTTGTCATTGTTTGCATGGGCAAGCCTTATCACACGTTCAAACGTATTTTCTTCTTTAGTACTGGAATTTTGTGATTACAGCAGTTAATATGGCATCTGTGAACTTTTGACAGATATAAGCATGTCATTAACAAATTAATCATTCTGAATCCTTTTAGAGTGGCTCTGGATCTTGAGGTGATTTGCTTTATTGCACTTCATTTTATAATGGACTCCCAAAAATGGTACTGTAGCTGACATCATGCCGTTAATAAGACTAATATTTATTTTACATGGTGATGATAAAATGAAGCACAGTGCAGCAGATATTCTTGGGAGATGAAATGGAAAAAGTTGTGCCTTAGTATTTGTTCATGACCAGTTGTAGAAGAACCTACTATTCATTTTGAATCTTTGCTTGGCATAATTCATGCAACATTTCATGAGTTACACCTGACTTTTTTCATTAAAACCCTTCTATGGCCAAAGAGAATCTAGCAGAGTGATACAAGATCATCTAGCCCAAACTTACTTTATCCTGGCTCCAGTACTATTCAAACATTTTTATTAATGACTTGGATAATGGAGTGGAGAGTAAGCTTATAAAATTTGCAGATGACACCAAACTGGAAGGGAGGGTTGCAACCACTTTGAAGGATTATAGTTCAAAACAACCTTGACAAATAGGAGAATTGGTCTGAAATCAACAAGAGGAAATTCAATAAATACAAAGTGCAAAATATTACTCTTAGGGAGGAAAAATCAAATGCACAACTACAAAATGGGAAATAACTGGCATCGGGTCCTCACAAAAAAATTTTTGGTGGCCTCAGAGTGTGGCCACCAACTCTTGCTGGTGGCCACTCTGACAATTTTGCCTAAAATACTTATGGTACTTAACTTTATGAAAAACAAATAAATATGCACATATACATGTCCAAATCATTGTAATTTATTTATGTAGGGTTTTTTGCAGACTCAGTAATAAAAATAATGTTCAGTTGTTTCTGTTCTTTTCTGGACCTAAACAGAAGAGAAACACAAATAAGGTGCTTTGCACGTTCTTGTCTCTTTTTTTGTTTTTTTGGGGGGGGGGCGGTTGGTTTTTTTTTGTTACTTTTTTTTAGACTTGCTCGCTAGTAAGTCTGCTGCTGTGAAAAGTGATACTTGTATGTTAATATCACTTTTCACAGCCTCCCAGCCAGCGACTAAGGGTATGTCTACACTACAGACCTTAGAGCAGCACAGTTGTACCACTGCAGTTCCACCGCTATAAGGTCTCCCTTGTAGCTGCTCTGTGCCGGAGGGAGAAGCTCTCCTGCTGGCATAATTAAACCACACCCAATGAGCAATGGAAGCTACGGTGGTGGAAGAGCATCTCCCGCTGACATACCGCTGTCCACACCAGCACTTCTGTCTGTGAAACTTTTGTTGGGGGGGGAGGATGTTTTGTTCACACCCTTGACCAACAAAAGTGCTAGTGCAGACATAGCCTTAGTCTGCTGTGAAAAGTGATATTAACACACATACAAACATCACTTTTCATAGCAGACTTACTCAGCCCTGGCAAGCCCGGGGATAAATTAAGCCCTGAATGGTGAGGTGGGTAGGTAGGGAGCAGGGCCAGGGTTGATGGTGGGGGGTGATCACACTGCCACATAGCCAGGAGCCGGGGCTGGAGCCCACCGCTGTGTGGTTGGAGGATAGAGCCCAAAGCCCTGAGCCTGGAGACAGACCCTAGAGCCTTGAGATGGAGCCCGAAGCCCTGTGGCTGGAGCCTGCCATCTGGGAACTCACTGCTGCTTGCTCCTTTAGTGTTTCTCTCTCCAGAGGGGACAAGACTCACCCCCTGCTGGAGGCCCCAAGTGAGGGGCCGCTGCTTTCCTCTCCTTCCGCCTCCTCCCCTATTTCCCCCTCCCCCCCCCAAAAAAAATTCATCACCCAGGAGTCTGTGGCCACAAGAAAAGCCCCTGGTGGCTGCATTTGAGAAACACTGGGCTAGGTGGTAGTACTGCTAAAAGTGACCTGGGATTTGTAGTGGATCACAAATTAAATATGAGTCAACAATATGATGCAGCTGCAAAAAAGGCTAATGTAATTCTGGGATGTATTAACAGGAGTGTCATATGTCAGACATGGGGGGTAATTGTCCTGCTCTGTTGGCACTGGTGAGGCCTCTGCTGGAGTACTATGTCCAGTTCTGGGTACCACACTTTAGGAAAGATGATGTCAAATTGGAAAGAGTCCATAGGAGAGCAACAAGGATTTTGAAAACCTGACCCATGAGGAAGGATTCAAACTGGGCATGTTTAGTCTTGAGAAAAGAAGGCTGAGGGGGCACCTGATAAGTCTTCAGAGATGTTAAGGGCTGTTATAGAGAGGATGGTGATCAATTGTTCTACACGTCCACTGAAGGTAGGACAAGAAGTAATGAGCTTAGTCTGCAGCAAGGGAAATTTAGGGTAGATATTAGGAAAAACTTTCTAACTCTAAGGAGTAGTTAAGCTCTGGAATAGGCTTCCAAGGGAGGTTGTGGAATCCCCATCTTTGGAGGTTTTCAAGAACAGGTTAGACAAACCCCTGTCAGGGGTGTTCTAGGTTTTCTTGGGCCTGCCTCAGTGCAGGGGGCTGGACTAGATGACTACTCAAGGTCCCTTCAAGCTCTACATTTCTATGAGTCTTTTTCTATAATTTTAGATCTGGTTTAAACTGTCTCCCTAAATGTTCATTTATCACTTGCCTTTCTTACTAAGGTGTTGACAGGTGTAAACAGATTAACAAACAAACCAACAAAAAACAGCAAGAAGATGTCACCTAAATAGAATGCAATATTGTCTTTGTCTTAGGCACGGGGGAAGAAAGACAAGGTACAAGGGATGTGGTTTAATTAGGCCACAACTTTATTAACTTAATTCATCCGAGAAATATATATTGCAGTAACTCAGACATTGCAGGTCATGATTCCTTCTTCAATCATTTCCACCTGATGGAGAGCTGCAGTCAGCCTCCCACCCCTACCCAGCTGGTTCCCAACGCATTGCTGGGACCCACCCCACTACCTTCACCTTGTATCAGCTTAAGGGGTTGGGGAAAGAGGGTTGTCTCTTTGCTGTACCAGACATAGGGAGCCCCAGCTCCAGTCCCCAGCCAACCTGCTAAATTGTGACAACATGAGCTGTACCTCCTGATCTACTCCACCAGGTCCCTCAGCTGCTGCGTGGAAGATTTAAAAAAAAAAAAAAGAATCCTGCCCCCGCTAATCTGTCAGTGAGAGAAAAATTCTTTCCCAGTCCCCAAAAAAGCAATTAACTGAAGCCCAGAGCAGACCAAAAAACCCCAGTCCTATGCTAATCCCCTGGGAGGGAAAGAGGCTCAAGCTCTAAGGACAGAGTTTATAAACCCTCCTCCAGTCGCTCAGAGGCCAGTGGCTTACCTGAGTCCCACCAGCCTGCCCACTTGCTCAGGTGATGCTTTCCTGCCCTCTTGGCTAGCCCATTCCAAACCCTTGTGGAAGGGGAGACCCTAAATAGAGCCATTAACCCAGTGGTTCCCAAACTTAGTCCGCTGCTTGTTCAGGGAAAGCCCATGGCGGGCCAGGCCGGTTTGTTTACCTGCCGCGTCTGCAGGTTCGGCCAATCACGGCTCCCAGTGGCTGCAGTTCGCTGCTCCAGGCCAATGGGGGCTGTGGGAAGTGGCGGCCAGTACGCTCCTCAGCCCACGCCGCTTCCTTCAGCTCCCATTGGCGTGGAGAGGCGAACCGCAGCCACGATCGGCCGAACCTGGGGACACGGCAGGTAAACAAACCGGCCCGGCCCGCCAAGGGCTTTCCCTGCACAAGCGGCGGAACAAGTTTGGGAACCACTGCATTAAACATTTTTTCCTGCCAGTCCAGAAAGAGCCTCCATGACTTTGGGACTGCGGGAGTTACATTTGATGTCTGATGCTGAGAGTTCATACACAGCAGGTTTGAAAACACCGAGATATCTCTTTTGTGCACAGTTTCTTAAAAGTATTTAAAAAATTCATACGTCACTGGCTTTAATTTGTTGGAGGAAACTGCCATCATGCATGCTGCAAAAAGGGTAATCATGCCCATAATCGGAAACTTTGCATTCTATCCCACTGTTGGTCCATTAAAAATTGTGAAATAATAGCTCTCTACAACAAGCCTCAACTTCTGTCTCCTTGTCCATATAATAAATTACATTGCTATGGACCTTTCACCACCTCATCTCCACTCTGTCCATAGATTCATCTTCTCCTGGACATGATCTACCATTCTAAACCTCTAAGCAGCTTCAAAACAACCTGCTCCCGCCAATCTGGCAATGTGTATATTTTTTCTGCTTAATATAGAATCTACCCCCCACCCATATATACTGATTTGAGGTGCAGGTTGGGCACTATACAGTTGTGATAGACTGAAGGACTAATGAACCAGGAGTACTAGGCGAGTTAGAGCTTCACCCCATCGGGGAGCTGTGAATCCCTTTGTTCAGTGGAATACCACACTTGTTTTGAGCCCCTGGTAGATTACGAGAGGTTAGACCATAAAGCTCTGACGTGATGATTTATAGAAGAGCTACTTTATTTATAACTTTTCTCTCTCCCCAAGGCTTGTATATTTAGCTAACTGATATTAAGGCACTCTGGCTTTACAGGCAGGTGGTTATGAAAAAAAGTTTTAATAAAAAATATTAAAACTCTAAAACAATATTTCTGTAAACTGTGGTATAACCATCTGTTATCCAGGAGGGTGTGGGGTGGTCTAAAGTCTTTATTGGGCCTCATTTGGGATGGCCTGCATAAATCTCTCATCTCTACATCACTTGGAGTACTGCTCTCATTTCATACTCATGCCAATCACACTTTCATACCACACAACACTTTTATCTATCTTATATTTATACTGCACTTTTCTGGATATTTTTCTTAAATCTGAATGACTGAAATAGCATTATATCATGGTGCAGGAGGGAGGAATGGTTCCCCATTTGATCTCTCCCCCTAAGTCCTTGCTGGCCCTAAGCCCCGCCCTTGTGGACCGTCTCAGGTCTTCGTTTCCTGCATACCTCAGGGAGATCTGCAAGAATTGGAGCGGAGTAAGTGCATGGAGCTGGAAGGGGCAGTGGAGTAGGAGGGCACTGGGGGCAGTGAAGAAGGACAGAGTCATAGAAATGTGGGGCTGGAAGGGACCTCAAGTGGTGCTCCCTGTGCTGAGGCAGGATTATCCCTAGACCATCGCTGACAGGTGTTTGTCTAATCTCCAGTTACGGGGCTCCCACAACCTCCCTTGGCAACCCATTCCAGTGCTTAACAATCCTTATAGTTAGGGAAATTATCTTAATATCTACCCTAAATTTCCCTGGCTGAAAAATAACCTGATTACTTCTTGGTGGACACGGAGAACAATTGATCACTATCCTCTTTATAACAACCTTTTACATATTTATCATATGCCCTCTCAATTTTCTCATGTCTAGACTATATAACGATGCATAGAGAGGGGCAGCGGATTGGAAGATGGTGGAGAAGAGCAGACATTAGAATTGAGGAGTGGGGGTATTCTCCCTCCTTCCAATTGTGGAAGGTTCATTACTTTCTTCCCTCCTGCTCTAACTGCAAGCCTTAGGGGAAGTCACCAAGGACTTCACCAAACCCAGTGAACCTTATTCGACTCTTCAAATACGCCGAAGTAGATTTGTTAGCCAACTGTGAATTTCCAGACCGACTCGTGTTTAAATTTAACACAGTTTCCTGGGTTTTATGGTTTGTTAGTTTTTTGCTAGTTATGATGTTCTTACCTGGTTTTTACTCTCAATCTTAATGTCATCATCACAAAGGTTTGGGAGTTTTTTGTTTGGCTGTCTATTTAGATTTTGAACCACTACTTGGAGAATCAGGCAGTAACTCATACCGGCAGCTATTCTGTTTAGATGCAGCATACTCTTGTCCCATTCAGCTGACTTCCTGCAGTTGCAATGCGGTGTGTTTTGGTTTCCTTAGTCATGAGGAGCCGTGATCCCAGATATTGCTTTCTCCAATCACAAGGGTCCAACTCACAGATGAGGGCAAGGACATCCCCAAGAGCATTCCATCCCGCTATTTGTGCAGTTGTGCCAAATTCTGAGAGGGTGATAATGCTGCTGCTTCGTTCTGTTCTAACTCTGTGTCTGTTTGCCTGGCAACACACAATCCTGACAATGTAGTTGGGTACTGTGCTTTGATAGGTGAGTGTGAGTGTCAATATGGGGGTTGACTAAAAATACCCACTTAGATCTAATTAGGGTTAATCCAAAGTGCTGTAGTTTAAACTGTAAATTGTACAAATGACACATTGCGTAGGCTATATGTACAAATATTGTTGGCACTACTTCAAAAGCTTTGCACTCTGTAAAACAAGTGAAAATATTTGAAAGGGCATTTACAATAGATTTGTGTTAACATACGGATTTTTCTCTAATGTTGAAACAGTACATTTCTGGCAAATATTTTCAAAACTAGATTGCTACATCTTATTAAAAAATGTCTTGACTAGTTTGCCTCATACATGTAAGTGGTATTGGAGTGGCAGAAAAGGCATATGGTATATTGTACTGCCATCACTTTTCCAGCATTATCCATTTATTTTGTTGTGCTGATCTTTCTATCTCTGAAATAAACCAATTTTTTAGGTATCTTTCTAATGCTACTTAAAATTAAATCTTAAAGATAAACACTGTCAATCGACCTTGCATTTTGACCTTTTTGTTGTTGTTGCAGCTCATAAAATAAAGCAAAGAAATGTAAACAGGGAAGGACTAAATGATTGATGGTTTGGTTTTATTTGAGGGGTGCACTGTTTTTAATCACATTTCTGTACAATTTTTTGGTGTTATTGACTTGCCACTTTTCGCAGGTGGGCACATGTGATGTGTGCAATAGCCATTCCAGAAGTCAGATTTGGCAATGTCACAGAGAGGACACCAGTAGACACTAGGAGAATACCTCTGCAGAGATTAAAATTGGTGAGTAGTAAGGCTCCATACATTCCTTGCCATTTAAAAATGTGCTGGTGTTTTGAAATGTATACAAAATCTCATCTCTGGTTAGGTACATTCACACACATTTCAGGGGAAAATTTAAATAAACAAAATGTCAGTTAAAAGAGAAAATTTGCTAAGGATTGTCATATTGTTTTTCACGTATAATGATAATTTGGGTATTTTAATTCTTCAGCCTAGTTCTGGGTTGCAACCTTGGGTAAGGGGCCTTTGCCATAGGGAAAAGGAAGGAGAAACAATGAGCGTTTTCAATCACTATCCTAATACTGCTGTGACTGCTCATTGAGGATCGTGCTGAAACTAAATAACCCAGAATATCTCAGAAGTCTTATTTGTGTTGTATTTTCATGAGGGTCCCCTCCTCCCCCTCAGGGAGCCATTTATGAAGTTAAAATGATGAAACAGGGTGGTCTCATGGTATTTTTACCGTCTGGGAATTGAGGAATGTGCACAGACCAGATTGCACATTATATTGGACTAATAAATGGCTCCCTGAGGCCTTGAAAAAGCAAGTGAGAAACATAAACACAAAAGCTTGAACTACAAATGCTCAAACCCATCCATAGCCCCAGATAATCCTTCCATCCAGCAGAAAATCCCATGCACTAATGAGAAACCTACAAAAGCGTTTGTTAAATCAAAGAGAATTTTCCCTGTTGGGTTAGACCTAAATTACTTAATTTATCAGTCTATGCGTCAATATGACACAGACTTCCTCTGAGAAAAGGAAAGTGATCCCCTGTCCAGTGTAAAAGAAAATAAAAGTTTGGGAAACAACCCCATCTGTTCTCTTTATCCACACCAAATGTTATGGAAAAAATGCTTATTGATATACTTAACCTTGAGCTACCCTTTCCTTGCTGTAACATTGTGAACTATTAATTGTTCATTTTAATTCATTATGCTTTATATTTTGTAACTATTTTTAATTTTGAACTGCAGCTTTAACCATTCTTAAAATGGAGGCATGTCTGACATTGGTCTTTGTTCACTGAGATTTCTCAAGTTTTTGTGTGCTTTATAAACTAACTCTGTAATGCATATTGAACATTTTCCTAAACCTTTTTGGCTCCCTTATACAATCTGTTACAGAGAAACTCTGACTCGAACACTCCTTATCTAATGTATGAAATACACCTCTACCCCGATATAATGTGACCCGATATAACACGAATTTGGATATAACACGGTAAAGCAGCGCTCTGGGGGGGCGGGGCTGCGCATTCCGGCAGATCAAAGCAAGTTCGATATAACGTGGTTTCACCTATAACGCGGTAAGATTTTTTGGCTCCCGAGGACGGCGTTATATCGAGGTAGAGGTGTATTCCCAAATGCTGTTTCAGCCTGTCCTTACTTCTAGTATATTTTTTGGAAGACCAGAAAGATGGTCAATGCCCTGTTGTCCTACCCTCCCAATTTTCCTGCATCTGTCAGACTTTCTTGTTTCAATACTGGCAATGTAGCCCTATTGTATATGGGCTCTCACTGTGTGAGAGAAGGCTCCCAAAATCTCATTTTTAACCTACAGTGACTGTTCAATTTGCTTGTCAGCCTCAAATTCTCATTAATCTGAATATATGAACACAGGAAGCACTGGATATGAACATAATGCTCTCATACTTTTGAGGAACCTAAACAGTCACAGATATGATGACAATAACTTGGTTGGTGATGCTTAATTGAGGGTTTGTTTTCTTGAGACTCTAGAAATGATTACTGGTAATTTGCCACGTATTGTGGGGATAAATAACCCCTATTTATGAAGTTCCCTCCTCTTGATGGGCTTCCTTTGGCTTAAACCACAGAATGGGTCTTGTTCTGTTCAATATCTTCATCAATGATTTAGATTATGGCATTGAGAGTACACTTATAAAGTTTGTGGACGATACCAAGCTGGGAGGGGTTGGAAGTGCTTTGGAGGATAGGATTAAAATTCAAAATGATCTGGACAAACTGGAGACATTGTCTGAAGTAAATAGGATTAAATTCAATAAGGACAAATGCAAAGTACTCCACTTAGGAAGGAACAATCAGTTGCACACATACAAAATGAGAAATGACTGCCTAGGAAGGAGTACTGCAGAAAAGGGGTCATAGTGGACCACAAGCTATATATGAGTCAACAGTGTAACACTGTTGCAAAAAAAGCGAAAATCACTCTGGGATGTATTAGCAGGAGTGTTGTAAGCAAGACACAAGAAGTAATTCTTCTACTCTGCAGTGATTAGGCCTCAACTGGAGTATTGTGTCCAGTTCTGAGCGCCACGTTTCAGGAAAGATGTGGACAAATTGGAGAAAGTCCAGAGAGGAGCAACAAAATGATTAAAGGTCTAGAAAACATGACCTATGAGGGATGATTGAAAAAATTGGGTTTGTTTCGTCTGGAAAAGAGAAGACTGAGAGGGGACATGACAACAGTTTTCAAGTACATAAAAGGTTGTTACAAGGAGGAGGGAGAAGAATTGTTCTTAACCTCTGAGGATAGGACAAGAAGCAGTGGTCTTAAATTGCAGCAAGGGAGGTTTAGGTTCGACATTAGGAAAAACTTCCTATCAGGGTGGTTAAGCACTGGAATAAATTGCCTAGGGAGGTAGTGGAATCTCCATCATTGGAGATTTTTAAGAGCAGGTTAGACAAATACCTGTCGGGAATGGTCTAGATAATACTTAGTCCTGGCAGGGAACTGGACTAGGTGACCTCTCGAGGTCCCTTTCAGTCCTGTGATTCTATGATGAAGGCAAAAGGCCTCCCAGGACTCCCTAGCATGCAATAGTGCAGCTTCTGCTCCATCCTTAAAGAGGATACACCTTTTATTCCTCTCTGTAGCCAGCCTCGCTGTTACTGTACTGTACCTCCATTCTCCCCAATATCATTCCTTCAGTGACCCTAGCCTTGCACTCATGTGTATAGAAGGCTGAGTTTGTGCCTGTCAGGTACTTTGGTACCAGATATGGACTACTCACAGATCCTGCTTATACACACCACATGTGTTCATCATAAGATCCTTAATGCTCTGCTGGTATGGGGAAGTTGAAATAAGGTATTTTACACACAGTGGCACCTAGTATAAAACAGTTTAGCATTCCATTACATCTCCCCATTTAAGTTCTCCATTACTGCCATTTAAAATGTTTACACTATCATGCTGTCTTTGAAGTTCAGTACATATCAATCTGTTAAGTGTCTTTGAATCGTACTGGTTTTCTAATTACACAACCCGAATGCATAACAATTTGATTATCTGGCATGTTGCAATGACTGGCAATGGTCGGTTTGGAACCCTTGAGTTATCGTCATCTTGTTCTGCATCTAACATCTTTGAGGAACAAACTATAGATATTGATGGTTTCTGTTAAACTCTCCACTGTCGGACTTGATTGCGTATGATCCGGGCACTGCATTTTTTTCTTTGACGAGTGGAGTTGTCCATCCCTTTTCTCCATCCGATTTGACACAAACACAGTCACCAGGTTCTAGACCTGGCAGTTCTTTGAGTGATGTCTGTTGTAAAAGTGTTCATAAAGCTATTTTAGTCTTTTTATCTAATTTAGCTATTCTCTCTCTTCATGCCTGGCCACTTTGGAGATAGTTCTTTTCCAAGATTGAAACAGTAATTCTGAGTTATCTGCCCATCAGGAGTTGTGCTGGACTACATCCAATAGCTGCTATTGGTGTTGATCAGAAGAGCAAGGAATGAATCTTCCTGCTACTGGATTTTCTTGGCTGTCTATACAGCTCTCTCAGCCTCTCCATGCACTTGTGGGTAACTGGGGTTGCTACAAATATGATCAAAACCATATTTTGTTCAGAATTACTTACTTACATTTTTCTGCAGTGAATTGTGGTCTGTTGTCAGTCCTAGTTGTCCTGGAATACTGAAGTGAGGAAAAAATGCCCTTCAGTTTCTTGACACTGCAACATGTTTTGTCTTTCAAGTACCTGGAAAAATAGTCCACGATGACGAGGTCATGATGTCCTCTGAATATGCATAAATTTGTAGCTAATATCTTCCTATCTCTCCAGTAGAGGTGTTTATACACTATATGGTTCGGCATTGTCTCTTAAATTAAGATGTACTGGATCACCTTTCAAAAGTCCAGTATCATCAAATCCTCTGAGTTTTCACCTTTCTCACTAGGCCCACTCCTGTTGATACGCAGTGACTTAGAAAGTTGTTTGTCTTTGATCCTTTGATCTCATGCACTCTGAATGCAAAGCTTTTGTCTTTGTAAGTTGTTTCTATGGTAAACTGGCCCATACAATTCAGAATACCTTCAGCGCTAGTCAGAGCTATGTCAGGTGACTTCAGCTCTGGGAGGGGTTGAAGGTGATTATAAGTCCCTTCTGAGATGATTGTGACCTCAGTGCCTGAGTCAGTTTTAAAGTCAATAGTCTTGCCTTAAATAATCAGTTTCACTCTCCAGGCAGGCTCTGTCATCTCAAGTGATAGATCCCAGAAACAATGGCTCTTGATTGTTGTAATATGAGCCCACTCCCTGACTGCTTTGGTGCAGAGAACTACTGCAAAATGTCTATATTTCATGCATTTATTATACCATGTGCCTCTGGCTGGACTTTTGTCATCTTTTGGGAGATGACTTTTTCACATTTTGTGCATGTAAGCTGGAATTAGTCCCTCTTAGCCTAGGAGTTCTCTCTCCTTGCCTCAGGGGTTTTATGATAATGACTTTTAACACTCAAGGGTCCATTTAGTGTTTCTAAGCTAGTGTCAGGTTTTTCAAATTGCTCCTGCCTTTTGTTCTGTCATTTGACTTATTCTGACTGCTTTGCTCTCTGTATAGCTAGGGCTAGGGTTAAATCTCTCTTCAGTTGTAGTTGCTCTGAAAAGTTTCTCTGTTAAGCCAATAACCAACCTATCTCTGATATATTCATGTTTTGCATCCCCCAAATCACAGTTTTCAGCCAATGTATGCATAGCTCTTATAAAACATTCATCATTTCCC